CAGAATTCATTCAATATGATAAAATTAAATATGAGCCAAAAGTAAAGATAAATAACAAAATATGGTAACCCAATTTCATGCAACCGTTCAGGCAATTAATCAACCCTTTCGGCAACTCCGAACGGAGGAATTTCACTTACAGTTGCACTTACACTTGCAGTTACACTTGCAGTTGCACATATTTTTCTCTCGTGTGATAGAGGCATTAGGAAAACATATTTTCTTTTATCATACTCCAAATCCAACTTCCAATTTCATAAATTTTTCTATTTATTTAGATCGCCTCGAGCATCGAGTCAAAGTTTCTGGAAGCTTTCTTTGTTTTTCTTTTAAAGTTAGAAGAATGGTCAAAATTTTTCCGCAACTTTTTTACTGTGCCGTTATTGCATCGAAATGAACGGATAACTTAGTAACTGGTAAACGCTTTATAACTAGTCCAGATCCTAAACATTCTGTTAAGGTATTCCACCGGACTGTACAAAGAACGAGTTAGGTTTCTGTAAAAATTGGACATATTCCTTCAAAGCGCACTCCGCGGATTGATAACCAATTAAGTTCAAGGTACGTGCTAGCATGTCACAAAAATTACAAATTCACAAAGATTTTTCTTAGTTATTCACAGTTGGAAATGGAATGATGAATGGAGAAAAGTTTTATTTAAGAATCTTAGTATACATTTTTTAAGAGAGGGGAGGAATCAAAAGTATTTTTTTAAAATAATAACCATCAGTGATGAAACTTGCGCCTGAAAATTAAAAATAGAAATGATTAACGAAAAGCGAGTATCATAAATTTAAATTACTAAAACTTTCTTATTTCGTTCGCTTTATTACTTAATAATATAAAGAATGCTCACATGTGGTAGGTAACTGAAAGGAATATCCAATTGTTATATACAGATAGTCTTCTTTTATTGGCATGACAGCTCTTTGTGGGCCTGAGCCTTCCATAGAAGCTTCCTCCATTATGCTCTTTTCTTTGAGATTGTTCTCTAGCTAGTAATTCTTATAAACAAATATGCAATACCATTTTTTTCATGTATAGATCACTCCTAGAAGCTGGAGGTCGTTCATAAATCATGTCACTCCTTTTTCAATATTTCTGATCCCCCTCCCTCTCCTCTTAGTCAAAAAATGTCACAATTCACCATATCCATAACTCGTGTACCAAGTCATTCTATATTATGTAAGCACGCTAGCTGTTAGGAAACTAAATACATGTTTTGGGTGATATTTTCAAATTTTATTTTTCACACTTTCGTTGCTAATAACGAGAAATCGAGAGACAAAATTCTTCAATACTGTTTGTGTCCATAAAGCAGATTAAGTGTTAGCGAAGATGCACATTATCATGCAACTATTTTTGCAGCAAACATGATGTTTTCACGTGACAAAAACATATCGTTGATTAAAATGAACTTATAGTAAAGTTTAAGAACTAAAATGGCTTCTAAAATAAGAAAATTTAACTTTAGTTTCGTTTTTATAGATTTCCAATGCTTGATCTATGATAGAAATATAATATACAGAGATGCCAACTGCTCCGGACAAGCCAATATAATTTTAAAAAACGGTACATAACTGCAAAGTAAATTTAGCAAATACTTGAGAAATTTTGCTTCCAAAACAAGGGTTAACATGACGTTAATACATACCTGCCAACTTTTAATTCCTTCCATTATTTCATTGTATTTGAGAAAACTTAAGTTGACAACCATGAGAGTAACGCATATTAATATTTGTGCTTAATTTTTGTAAGAATAGTGGTGATCAAAATCATCTAAAAATTAAGTTTATAAAAGGAAAAATAGTATATACTTACTACCACTTTAAATATGAAAACAAAATCTTTCGGAAAATTTGGAAAAGTTGGTAGGTATGCGTTATTACCATAAAGTGATGAATGTTATAAGCCTACGAATTATTAAGAAATAGTGGTGGACAAAAATCATCAAAATTGAATTCATTAAGCTGAGAATCACAATTGATAAACTACCTCTTAAAAGTATATATTTGGTGTCCGGAGCAAGTTGGCATTTTTGAGTATAGCCACCGCCACTTGGCTGGCAATAAACGTGTTAAACTTAGTTCATTTTTTAATGACACTTGTGATTATTATAGCTGAAGCGGCGATAAATTGCAGAGTTGTAAATCTACGCATGTAAATTAACGAACTAAATTGAAATTAGTAGAAATAAATTCGATATAGTAAATGGTAAAAAAAAAAAAAGAAATNATTCAAAAAAAAAAAAAAAAAAAAACATGGCCAGATTCACATAAGGAAAAAGTAGTAATACGACTGTATTTTGTATTATCATCGATCAATTCCAAATCAGGCAGTTGTTGCTTCCTTTTACGTGACAAATGTTGAGATAAAAAT